CCCTGTCGGTGGGGAGGGGGCGCCACCCGGGGGAGCGGCGGGACGTGGGGGCATCGCGGGATCCCGTGGGACAACCCGGGACACCCTGGGACATCCCGGGATACCCGGGGATAACCTGGGACATTCTGGGATACCCTGGGACACATCCATCCATCCATCAGTCCCTTTGCCCAGGCTCTTGTGCCAGCCACCATCCCTCCCTCCATGCATCCATCCCTCCTTCCCCATCCACGCTCCGTCCTCCCATCCATCCAGGCACCACCAGCCTGTCCTTCTCCTGTCTAATCCAGCCTGACTCCTGCTCAGACACATGCTCCAACCTCATCCCACCATCCTGGCACTGGTCCCATCCATCCATCCCTCCACCCATCCATCCCTCCATCCCTCCATCTATCCATCCATCCCTCCACCCATCCATCCCTCCATCTATCCCTCCATCCCTCCATCTATCCATCCATCCCTCCATCCATCCATCCATCCCTCCATCCATCCCCTTACACTCCCCTTCCCTTGGCTCCTGCGGAGAAAGGAGGAGATGCCGGAGGGCAGGACGGATGGGGAGCACCGGGGCGTGATTTCGGGATGCAGGGTCGCCATGGAAACGCAAACCCCACACCGCAGGAGTGGTGACGGGTCCCTGGATACCCAGCCCCATCGCCCGGCCCTGCTGGACTCGGACACCCCGGGGGGCAGCGGGGAGGCCGGACCCCCCCACGGAATCCAGAGCCTCCCATCCCCGGGGAGCAACACCCGCCGTCCCGCCGGGACGCGTCACGGCTGTGCCAGGCGCTCTGGAAGCGGCTCTGACATGGTGTGAATACACTTTTGTGTCTTTTGCCATCTGCTGCTGTCATTAAAAAATTAAATTTCCATCTGTTTTCACACTCTTCCTTCCCTCCCCCCCGCCCTTTCCCTGTGGCTCCTGGCGAAGCCGCCGCGCCGGGAGCGCCGCCCCCGCCTCTCCGGGGCTCGCGGGGTGCCGGGATCGGCCGGGAGCGGGGGGATGTGGTGGGATGCAGGCGCCCGGCGGGGATGCGGCGGGATGTGGAGCACCCAGCGAGGAGGCAGGGGGACACGGGCACCGGAGAGGATGCAGCAGGGCACAGAGCACCGTCTAGGATGCAGGGGGATATGGAGCCACCGGGAAGGATGCAGCGGGATGCTGCGTTCCTGTGCATTTCTACTGACCTTGTTTCCCACCCCGCTGCTCCGAGCAGGACAGCGGAAGCCAAAGGGAGCCGGAGGTTTCCACCCTCTGTTCCCCTCCAGAGCGCCCCACTTTGGAAACCCATTTTTAATTTTTTCCTTAGAAAAGAAGAGGGCAAAAACCAGCCATGGATG